CCAGGCTGGAGTGCGATGGCACAATCTCAGCTCACCGCAACCTCCGCCTCCTGGGTTCAAGCAATTCTCCTGCCTCAGCCTCCTGAGTAGCTGGGACTACAAGCGTGCGCCACCATGCCTGGCTAATTTTTGTATTTTTAGTAGAGACGGGGTTTCACCATGTTGACCGTGATCGTCTTGATCTCTTGACCTCGTGATCCACCCACCTCGGCCTCCCAAAGTCCTGGGATTATAGACGTGAGCCATCGCGCCCAGCCGACCTTGAAGAATTTTTTAAAACCTTTCTGAGCCTCAATGTCTGCATCCGCCAACATCATCCAGGCGCCTAAAATCACTAATTCTCACATGAGTACTCAAAAGCAAATCTCTGTATTCATTAATCCCTCGTCTCCCATACTCTCACCCACAGATGTCCCTGTACACCCACTGACTTCATCTCCCTCATCCTTCCTCTGCCCTAGCATCGAACTTCCCACATCATCATCTGAAACTCCCAACCTGGTGATCAGCACTGCCCTAACAACCTCTCCCTGGGATCACTTCCCTAAGCTCCTGCCTTGAGACTTGGCTCTCCCAAGGGCAATGCTTCACTTGCAGGCCTCTCAAAAGGTGGCAGTTGTTTTCTCTGGCACATGTTTATCCTGGGGTCAGTAGGTAGAGAACATAGTCCTCCAGACTCACCACTGCCAAGCTAAGACTATTTTTGCCTCTCGTTAAAAAGGATTAAAAAAAAAAAGGCATAGTGACTCATGCCTGTAATCCCAGCACTTTAGGAAGCCAAGGTAGGAGGATTACTTGAGCTCAGTAGTTCAAGATCAGCCTGGACAACATAGAAAAACCCTCATCTCTACTGGAGAAAAAAAAAACCTAGTGGGGCATAGTGGCAAATGCCTATAGTCCCAGCTACTCAGAAGGCTGAGGCAGGAGGATAGCTTGGGCCCAGGAGGTTGAGGCTGCAATGAGCGCCACTGCACTCCAGCCTGGGTGACAGAGTGAGACTCCATCTCAAAAATGGGTGGAAGGGAATAGAATAAAAGCCCTGCTCTTTTTGAGGCCCCATACAAATGCTATGTATGTCTGTCATCTATGACTTACTTTTCCTCATCTATTGAAGCACCTGGCTCACTGCTTTTCTTTGACCCAACTCCTGCCACCAACAACCTGTGTGACTTTGGAGATCACTGGACAACCCTTCCAACAGTCTAGGTTTCCCACTTCCCTGACATCTTCACTTCCAGGGATCTCCACTCAATCACAGCCACTTACCCACCCATTCCTATGGTTACACCTATAGGGGAAACACCTGTAACTGCTTGGACTTTTGACAGCAGTCTCAGACACCCCTCTCTCCTATCTTCAAGCTCATTTGTCCAACCTCCTAGAGACTTGAACCTTCTACTCGATTCCTTATTTGTCAGCCATCCTTCTTCCCTCCCTGTCCAGCTAACATTCCACAGCCTGTTATTACAATTGTGCTCCTGCACAAAGCCACAATTCCTTTGCCCCTCCCATTGCCCTACTATGACATCTTTATCAGTGTTTGGCAACTAACTGACCAGCAGGCAGACAGGCAAGTTCCATGGATTATATACTTGTGCCACCAACACCGATAGTTGTAAAATTTATTTATTTATTTAAATTTTTAAAGACGGGGCTTCACCATGTTGGTCAGGCTGGTCTTGAACTCCCGACCTCAGGTGACCCGCCCACCTTGGCCTCCAAAGTGCTTGGATTACAGGCGTGAGCCACCACGCCCGGCTGAGTTGTAAGCTTTTTAAGTGATAAAACATTCCCGGCCTGTAATCCCAGCACTTTGGGAGGCCGAGGCGGGTGGATCACGAGGTCAAGAGATCGAGACCATCCTGGTCAACATGGTGAAACCCCGTCTCTACTAAAAATACAAAAAATTAGCTGGGCATGGTGGTGCGTGCCTGTAATCCCAGCAACTCAGGAGGCTGAGGCAGGAGAATTGCCTGAACCCAGGAGGCGGAGGTTGTGGTGAGCCGAGATCGCGCCATTGCACTCCAGCCTGGGTAACATGAGTGAAACTCCGTCTCAAAACAAAAAACAAAACAAAAAAAAATTCCCCTCTTAAAATAGCCACTCAAAAATGAACAACAGTGGCCCAGCACAGTAGCTCATGCCTGTAATCCCAGGACTTTGGGAGGCCGAAACAAGGGATCCCTTGAGGTCAAGAGTTGGAGACCAGCCTGGCCAACATGGTGAAACCCCATCTCTACTAAAAATACAAAAAAATTAGCTAGGCATTGCTGGTACACACCTACTAATAGTAGTAATCCCAACTACTCATGAGGCTGAAGCAGGAGAATCACTTGAGACCAGGAGGCGGAGGTGGCATTGAGCCGAGATCGCACCATTGCACTCCAGCCTGGGCAACAGAGCAAGACTCCATCTCGAAAAAATAAAAACTAGGCCGGGTGTGGTGGCTCATACCTATATAAACACAGCACTTTGGGAGGCTGAGGCGGGCAGATCACTCGAGGCCACGAGTTCAAGACCAGCCTGGCCAACATGGTGAAACCCCGTCTCTACTAAAAATACAAAAATTAGCCAGGCATGGTGGTGGGCATCTGTAATCCCAGCTACTCAGGAGGCTGAGGCAGGAGAATCTCTTGAACCCAGGAGGTGAAGGTTGCAGTGAGCCGAGATGGCACAACTGCACTCCACCCTGGGGGACAGAGCAAAACTTCATCTCAAGAAAAAATTTAAGTAAAAAATAAAAAATAGTCTGGGAGCAGTGGCTCATGCCTGTAATCCCAGCATTTTAGAAGGCCAAAGCAGGAGGATCACCTGAGGTCAGGGGTTCAAAACCAGCCTGGCCAACATGGTGAAACCCTGTCTCTACTAAAAATACAAAAATTAGCCAGGTGTGGTGGTGGGCACCTGTAATCCCAGTTGCTCAAGAAGCTGAGGCTGGAAAATCACTTGAACCCGGAAGGTGGAGGTTGCAGTGAGCTGAGATCGCACCATTGCACTCCAGCCTGGGCGACAGAGCAAGACTCTGTTTCAAAACAAAAAAAGAAAAAGTTACTGTGAAATTCTATGAACATTCATTAAAAGCACAGGATTGGGAGGGGTGGTAAAGGAAACTCACTGTGTCTAAGTTTCATCGTGACGACCAATTGCTCTCTTCCTGTCAGAATGGGAGAAGAAGCAATTTGAAGACAGCGGGGAGCCACAATGCCACAAGCCTCCGCCTAAGTCCCCTAAAGGTAAAAGGTTAAAGAACATTATGAGGAAGCCATAACAATTAGGAAAACTGGGAGAAGCTGGAGCTAGAGCCTCGTATGGCTGAGTCCACACAGGGAAGAGAGTGTCACACTACCCAAAGGGAGGGATAGGTCTCAACCTCATCCTGGGTGGAGTCAGTGCCTCAATGCATCAGATGGGGCCTTGGTCCTGATTCCTCCACACTGTAGTGTTATACCCTAGGTAGGAAACTAGTGCTAAACCCCTTCACACTGAGGGGAAAGGGGCATGCAAGGATGGTCCATTTCTATATGGGCCAATAATAGTGCCTCTTTTCCCAAGTAGGGAATTCTATATCTCATCTACCTAGGAGAGATGGTGGGGAAGGGGGTAAATAGATCCCAGGAGTCTACCCTGGGGAAAGGGGGCCTGAGAACAGGGATTGTTACCTGCGTGTCTATATGGACTGAGATAAGTACAAAATCTTGGAGAAGGGAGTAAAAATCTGTGCCTGCATATGCCTGGGGTCTATACCTTGGTGGTTTGGGTTGGGGGGATTACCATCTGTCCCTCTACTCTGGGGTACAGAGAAACTGGGGAAATTCACAAAGTGGCTGTGTGCATTTCTGCTACATGGGAAAAGAACCACAGATCTGTTTATCTCTAGATTGTGGGGATGGGTCCTGGGTCTCTTTACCCTGGAGAGGGCTGTAGGGCAGGATCGATATGCCTGACGCCACAGCTATGCAGCTTTGAATAAGTGGGTCTGGACCTTACCTGCAGTGAGTTATTCTGGACCCTTCTGTGGGAAGTAGACTGTGACAACTTTCATCTTTTACGCTGATTGAAGTCAGCAGCACACTAACACTGAAAGAAATAGGGCCTCTGGTTCTCTGCATGGGTGGTGTGTAGAGGGGGCAGGCAATATAGCTATAAATTAAGAGATCAGCCCTAATACTTAGGGGCAGGAGGGGGGTCAGTGATTCTACTCTGGGTGGAGAGAAACAGATGTGAGCTCCACTACGTTGGGTGAAGGGGAGAGACCATATGCACTGCACTGCCAGGTAATGAATGATATCACTGCCTCTCAACATTACAGGGAGGGGGACCTGCATCTCTGCTCCTGTGGGGTATCTCACTTGCTACATTTAGTGACTCTAAATCCTTGGGGGAGGTAGGGGGATGATCTGTGTCTATGTCAAAGGTAGAGGAACCCATCTGAGCCCCTCTACCCCCATGGCACCTCAAGGGACAGACCTGACTGTCTCTTCATGGATTAAGATCTGTTCCTGCTTGCTTTGAAGCACTTTGGGTGCCTCAAAAAATTACACATTCGGGGGCGGGGACGGTGGCTCACGCTTGCAATCCCAGCACTTTGGGAGGCCGAGGTGGGTGGATCACGAGGTCAAGAGATCGAGACCATCCTGGCCAACATGGTGAAACCCCATCTCTACTAAAAATACAAAAATTAGCTGGGAATGGTGGCGCACGCCTGTAGTCCCAGCTACTCAGGAAGCTGAGACAGGATAATTGCTTGAACCTAGGAGGTGGAGATTGCAGTGAGCCGAGATCGCGCCACTACACTGCAACCTGGGCAACAGTGCGAGACTCCCTCTCAAAAAAAAAGGAAAATACACATTCCGTAAAACGGGGGCTACGGAGGTAGGGATCAGGTCTGATTTTCCACAGTAGGGACTCACTCTAATCTAAGAGGAGGAGGCAGTTGGCTTAGTTGTCCACAGGCTGAGGCCTGTATCTGCAACCACTTTGGGGATGGGTGAGTTGGGGAGTGACACTGAGGGCTCTAGGTCTACACGAATGGGGAGGAGCTGCCCTCCCCCTGTATAGTAAATGTTTCTAAGCTCCTCTATACTGCTATGGGGACAGATACATCAAAGCCTCGGTCTGTCCGGCGGTCGGAGGTGCCTCGAAGCGGCTGTCTGGAGCCAAGCCGAGGAAGTGCCTTAAACCGGGAGAAGTCTGCACTGCTCATCTGAGCGGAAGGAGATGTCTCTATACATAAGATTGGGGTGGATGTCCCCCATAACTTCGGTGAGCCAACTCTTGTGTATGCAGGGTGAATGCACAATGGAGCCTCACTATCTTGAGGACGATCAACGCTTCACCACACAAGTGAGGTTTGTGCCTCTCTACTACACAGTGTGTCCCGGATTTACACCTTTCTAGATGGGATGGGGCAATGCCCCTCTCCCGGAGAACTCCACCCCGCGAAAAGGCAATTCGGCGCGTCTCCACGTGTGCTGCGATCCCTGCTCCTCTTCTGGGCCCTTGTAGCCTAGAAGAGATCCGGCTGTTTACCTCTCTCTTCCAGGCTCGCGGGCATCTGTGGTTTTAGAGGATCCTAACTGCCCGGTCGTCTAGGTGAGCGCACACCGTGAGAAAAGAGAGTAGTTTCTTACCTATACTTCCGGCGGGGATGTGANAAAAAAAAAAAAAAAAAAAACCCATCCCCCAACCCCATGTAATTTTCTTTGAAGAGAAAATATCTTCACATGGTTCAAATATAAAGAAGTATAAAATTATGTTTATTGAAAAATTTACCCTCCTTTTCTATCCTGTGTCAGCCTGGTTCCCATCTCCCCCAGGAGGTAAGCACTGGTGTCAACTCGTTTATTCTTCTAAGGATTTTGTGTTTTTTCTTAACATTCTCTTTCTTTTAAACAAATGGCAGCATTATGCACACTGTTAAAAGAGTATTTCAGAAATTATTTAATATGTATTCTCCTTTATAGCTATGTAATATTCCATTCAATGGATGTACTATGTTTAACAAATCCCCTGCTAATGAACAGTGAGGGTTTTCTCTCTTTTCCCTTGGCCAAACAATGCTTCAGAAAATTATGTGTATAAATACATTTGTAGGATAAATTTCTAGAAATGGAATTATTAACTGAAAGGGTCTGTACATTTTAAAAATGATACAGTTCCTGATAATTTTTCTCTAGGGTTAAACAATTATAGTCCTATCAGCAATAAATAAGAGTAATTATCTCTGTATTCACGCCAATGATGTGTTATCAAACATGTAATTCTATAAGTGAAAAGTGGTATTTCAGTGTAGTTTTGATTTCTATTTCTTCAATGGAGGGAGGACATGCATGTTTCTAGGTTTATAGGTTATTCATATTTCCTTTTCTGTGTACTCTCATTCATACCTTTTGTCTAGTTTTCTATTATGTTGATCATATTACCCTGTTAAAGCTAAACACTTATCAAGCTTCACAAGGCCCTATGATATGGTACCCAGGTGTGTAAAATTTTCTGTGGATCAGAAAATACAGGAGAAAATTTGTGAGAGATAATAAAAATGGAAAAACAATGCCAATGCATTCCAAAGGCTATGGCCTGGGCACTAACTTTTGCTTTAAAAGCTTCCTCATACTGGGAGTATTTCCTTAGGAAAATAATTGGATTTTGTAGTGGAAATTAGGAGAAAATATTTGTGTTAAGAAAACTCATGTTATCATATACTTTGATGGAAATCAACTTTTTCCCATTAAAAAAATATAATTGTGTTACAGATTCAAGTGCAAGTGATTTTTGAAGTGACACAGCAAAGTGAATTGGAGGACTGAAGCAGTTTTCTGGATAGTCCAGGCTACCACCTGACTACCTCATCTGATATGTACATGTAGTTAATAATTTTTTTGTGAGAAGTTTAAATCACTGCAGCAGTCAACTGTTTTCCAAAATTCGTTGTTCTTTTCTTCTACTCGACCAGATTATTTTCCTGGGCATGAAGAATTTTGCCACAGCTAAAGTCAGTATTTCTCAGCTCCTTCTTGCAGCTAAATGTGGCCATGCGATTATATTTTGGCAATAGGATGTGAACAAAAATGATATGTGGTACATTCAAGTTTTGACCTAAAAGGATTGCACGTGAACATCCATTGTGTCTTCTCCTTTTCCTCTGACTGAGATGTAGTTGTGATGGTAGGAGCTGGAGGAGCCACTTTGGACTCAGAGATGGAAAACCTGTGTTGAGGAGTCCTGGACTTTTATGTAAAAATGCCTTATTTAAACTACTGTGTGTCGGAGTCCTTTAATCACAGCATCTTAGACTATATTCCCATAAGTACAATATCTTTGCTTCATAATAAAGTGCCTCCAAACGCAGTAACTTAAAAAACAATCATTTATTAGCTCCTGATGCTGTGGTTTGTCAAAATGGCCTGAGTCGTTCTTTTGCAAGACTTGCCTGGGTTTACTCACATATCTGCAGGTAGCTGGTGGGGTTGCTAAGGGATAATTGGCTCTGGATGGCCTCATTCATGTGATTGACAGGGGCAATGGGAGCAACTGGGTTCCACGTTTCTAGCAGTTAACAACTTCAGGTTTCTTCTCATGGTGGCTGGATTCCAAATGTAACCAGAGATAGCAAGTCCCAGTGAGCAATCACTTTTTACACCCCTGCTTGTGTTATACTTGGTAAATGCCACACTGGCCAAAAAAAATAACACGGCCAAACCAAGAGTGAATGTGGGAAGGTGTATTTTTACAGCAGGGTTTCTGAACAGCAACACCACTGATATTGGAGCTGGAAAATTCTTTGTCCAGTGGGCTGTCCTGTGCATTGTAGGACATTCAACAGCATCCCTGGCTTCTACTTCTCGAATTTCAGTAACAGTTCAGACCATAACCTTCCCACACCCCATACTATAACACTCAAACATGTCTCTAACATTGCCAATGATCTCTGCATGGAAAAAAATTGCCTTCAGTTGAAAATAACTGGTTTACAGGAAGATGTGAATCTGGTGTAGACCTCTGAGGGCTGTTAATGAACAATCTGCCACATACAACAATTGATACAGTTAGCTTATTTTTCTTTGCTGTGTTGTTAACCTTACATGTATAGACTGTTGCTAATTATCTCCACTGATGTGTGTTTTTGAAAGGCTGTTTCTGGGTTCCAAGACTCAGCCCTTGTGTTTAGAGCTTGATGTTGCTTGTGATTCTGCTTTTTATACTTAGACTGCTAGCACAGAACTGGTTGTAGTTATTAGAAAATATTAGTATCATGACATACTATACCCAAACCTCTGCATCTTCTCTGTAATAATACATTTCTTCCTGTTGTCAGGTAACTTACCATGCCTCATAGGAGGCAGACTATACATCTTTGCTCCATTGTCTTTGGACTTGGCCATGTGACTGGTTTTGGCTGATAGAGAGTGGGCATAAGTGAATGCCAGTTCTGACAGAGGTTTTAAAACGCTTTGCATGTTTCTGAAGGTCTCTCTTATGCTCCTGCCTCCTGCCATGAGAACAGCATGTCCCAGGTAAGAACTAATTCTTCTGTCTAACTCCCCATAGAAGACCTGAACTTGACCTACAGTCTGGAACAAAGACACCCAGATGACCCACAGAAACTGAGAGAGAAATGAAGCCTTATTGTTTTAAGACTTTGATATTCTGGAATTGATTGCAGCATCATTATAGTAAAAGCTGACAAATACAATTCTAATTTTTTATTCTATTAAGTTGTTTTTATTAAAAGAGTATATTACCATTATAGAAAAATTAGAAAATACAGGAAATCAAAATGAAGAAAAGAAATTAAGTAGGAAGACAGGCTCAAACAACTATGATGCTATTACATGTTTACTTACAATTGTGATAAGTTCTATGAAGGCAAAGTCTGTATTCTAGGATCATATTAATATTTAAAAAGAGGGCATAGGCTGGGCATGGTGGCTCACACCTGTAATCCCAGAACTTTGGGAGGCCAAGGCGGGCAGATCACCTGAGGTCAGGAGTTCAAGACCAGCCTGGCCAACATGGTAAAACCCCATCTCTTCTAAAAACACAAAAAATAGCTGGGCGTGGTAGCACACACTTGTAATCCCAGCTGCTTGGGAGGCTGAGGCAGCAGAATCACTGAACGTGGGAGGCAGAGGCTGCAGTGAGCCAAGAGCTTGCCACTGCACTCTAGCCTGAGTGACAGAATGAGACTCCACCTCAAAGAAAACAAACAAACAAAAAAGGGCATGATATAATCTGGAGTCAGGAAAATTTTTCCAAAAGAAATAATGTTACACATATCATGTATTAAATACATATAAACTATAATGCTGCATCTATTATAATACACACATACTTTTATATCAGTATCCTTGATGTCAAAGACCACAGTCATTTCCTTAACAATCTCAGCACTAAGATGGGCAGGCAGAGTGTGAGTAGGTGGTGGTGGCATGTAGAAGCTGATTTTCCCGCTGACCCAGTCAGCTAGGACAGTTTTGGCCACCTGTTCCTGACTGTATAAGCCTCCCTTCTTCTTCCCCAAATGGTGCACCACTACCATGAGAAAGTGCTCAGTGGTCTGGAACCCAGAGACACCACAGTAGTTGGAAATCTCCTCCAGGTTGCAGTGCTGCAGGATGGTTCCCACCGGGGTCACAGGGTCTGCCAGCTTCTGCACGTGGATGCAGTTACGCAGGATATTATTGCCCACCTCTGAGTTGGGCCCTGGGACAACGCCTGCAGCATCCAGCAGCCGGATGAACTTGTCCAGGTGGACCTCCTGCATGAATTTGGTAATCCCAGGAACCGCTCCCACGCTGCATGCACGGCCGTGCTTCTGGCTATTAATCAGGCTGCTCTTCTCAACACTGGGAAGACCCACAACGGCTACATGAATGTGCGTACGCACTTCAACAAGGCGACAATAGTTCTCCAGAACCTAATTGAGGTTTTTCAGCTCCAAAGCAGGCTTTGCTTTTCAGCAGTGACTCAGAGGCCTGATCTCCTGGTACACTGAAATGATTCAGGTTTCTGACCTGATGCTGGGTACTGGCCTTGAAAGCCACGGCTGGCAACTCTTTCCGAAGGTAATCCAGCCATTTCTCCACAACCGCCTTGGGGACCAGGTCAATCTTGTTCAAGACAAGGACCAGCTTCTTGCTGCCTTGTGCTCGCAAGACAGCCTCCTCCATTTGGAAGCAGCGGCAGCCTAATGGATCTCTGGCATCCAGAGCTTCCAGAATCACATCAGAGTATTCCACCACTTTATGGAACTCCTTGTAATAAGCATTCCTTGTGACCTCGTCATCCAGCCGAGGAAACATATTTAATTCCTGCAAAACTTCCTCCTTATGCTTATACTCCTCCTGGCATCTCAGGACATCCTGACAGTAGCTCTCGATGGTCCTGCGTTTTTGTCTTTCTTGATCCCAGGCAGCTTGCTGCAACTCCCTCATCTTCTCAACCCTTTTCTCCTTTAAATTAGCCTCTCGATTGGCATGATCATTGGAGTGAACCAAATGAGGTGCTGAGGGCACTTTGGAGGTTGCTTTCTTCCCATTTTGCTTCGCAGGCTTCTTGTGGCCCTTTGAACTTTTACCTGGCTTTTTATTTTTGTGTCTAAGCTTCATCGTGATGACCAGCTTGAAAGCAGATAAGTTCAAATCTGCTTGCTCTCTTCCTATA